AAGAGGGTGGAAGAAGCAAAGGCCACAAGCCTATTCACCACATCCTAGCTTAGTTATCAAGTTAAGGCCCATTCCTCTGGTGTTAGAAGCAGCAGAGTTGTATGTGAGCTGCTCAGTTTGTTCCTTACAATGAGGGGAAGAAAGAAGGGAGAAAAACAGGTGTTTATAGGAAAAAGAAGAAACAAAGGAAAGCTCTGTGAAAAAACTGTCTTCCAACAGAGGAGGAGGAGGAGGAGAAAGATGAAGAAGGAGGAGAAGGGGGAGGAGGAAGAAGAGGAAGAGGGAGATGGAGAAGAAGAGGAGGAGGAGGAGGAGGAAGAGGAAGAAGAATCTACACATGGCTGCTAGTATGGCTGGTTATCTGCTGTGGTTTCCAAAGAAAATTGACTCTTCTATCCTAAAATGAACTTATACAGAGTGACCATTTCTGCTACATAATAAACATTTCCAATCAGGGGTGTGGTCCCTGACTTCTACATAAGTGACACGGGCCCTGAGGAGAGTAACATGCTCTGTTTCAGAGGGTCATGTCGGCTGCTAACCTGAAAACAGACTAAGGGCTGAACGCAGATTTATGCAAAGTGCCCTGACCCCAGTGTCTCCCACAAGGGAACTCCAGGGAGCTATCTAGTCACTGATCAGGTATGACAGGGTCCATCAAACACAGGAAAACTTAGTGCCCACCCCCTTGTATCTTATTACACTATCAACAACATTCCACATCTAGTTCTAATATTGCTAAGGACAGCTGAACTTTACTAACTAATAGGAAGGGGGGGAGCAAAAGTCTTCTCTTTCTAATAGGATTAATGATGTCCTAACCTATGAACTTTAAAAAAATCCATTTTTTACAACATCCGAGAAGAATCTCTTCTCTGAAATTTGCTAAATACAGAAATGTGTTAACAAATGCTTTAAAATGATAACTCTGGCCAGGCGCCAGTGGCTCACACCTATAATCCTAGCTACTCAGGAGGTTGAGATCTGAGGATCATGGTTCAAAGCCAGCCCAGGCAGGAAAGTCCGTGAGATTATTATCTTGAATAAACCACCATAAAACCGGAAGTGGTGCTGTGGCTTAAGTGGTAGAGTGCTTGTCTTAAGCTGAAGAGCTGAGGGACAGTGCCCAAGCCCAGAGTTCAAGCCCCATGACCGACCAAAAAAAAAAAAAAAGATCACTCTAACCCAGTAATTTCTCAGATGGTATCCTATGAAAGTAACTCTAAACAAGAAATTATTTCCATCTAAGATACTCAAAACTGTATCTATAGTAGCAAAAACCTAGAAACAACTTAAAATGTCCAACGACACCATCAATCTAGCTAGAAGCCAGATGCTGATAGATCATAACTACAATCCTAGCTACTCAGGAGGCTGACATCTCAAACTCACAGTTCAAAGCCAGTGCCAGCAGAAAAATCCTCAAGACTCTTTATCTCCAATTATCCAGCAAATAAGCCCAAACTGTAGCATGGCTGAAGTAGTAGAGCAAATGAAAAAGCTGAGGGAGAGAAAAAGGCGCTGAGTTTAAGCCCCAGGTAACACATGCACACATGCAAGCATGCAAGCATGCATGCACACACGCACACACGCGCACATGTGCACGCGCGCACGCGCACACACACACACACACACAACTTAGCAGAATACTATATAGCCACTAAAAATGATTCTTTGAAAATGGAGAAAGTACATTATATCAATTCAATTTTGCAAAACACTTGCACAACACAAAACACCAGGAAACATAAATGCACTGGGGGAAAAAATAGGCAATATATATATATACCAATATGTTAATACTTAAATGACTGAAGTATGTAAATCATGTTAAACTCTTACTTTCCAATTTTTACAAGTGACTGTGGATCTTATATGCAATTTTCAAAGTGAATCTTTTATTTGCAATATAAATACCATGTAACACTACTTCTATGCATATTGTATCTCAAATATAGTAACACTAATTGTAATTATGTATCAATCACTTAATGTGCCAAGGAGGGGCAGTATTCAGGGTCTTGTGCTCTTGCTTATCTTCTTCTCTCATGGCAAGTGCTCTACCACCTGAAGTATGCCTCAAATTCCAGATTTTGGCTGCATGTTGCACATTTAAGTCCTCTAGCACATGGGCCATGGCCCCAGTCCTTTCCTTTCAGTTGTTTTTCACACAGGATCTCTTGGTTTTGCCCTGTACTGGCCTAGGACTATGATCCTCCTGTCTCCACCTCCTAAGCAGCCAGGACCAGAGCATGTGCCAGCATACTCAGCTTCTTTTCGGGACAGGGTCTCCCTAACGTTTGCTTGGGCTAATCTTGAACCAGGACCCCCCTGTCTCTGTATCTCACAGTTAATAAGACAGCAGGATGTGCCACTACACCTGATAGCACTTTAATCATCACAGGATCCCTGATGTCCATATTACTAGAGATAAAAGGAAGTTAATGAGAAGTATCAGGTCATACTGTCAACTCTGGGCTTTAAATTCAGCTCCTTGGGGAGGCTGGGAATGTTGGCTTAGTGATGCATGCCTAGCATGCATGAAGCTCTGGGTTTCATTGCTCAGTACCACATGAACAGAAAAAGCCGCAAGTGGTGCTGTGGCTCAAGTAGTAGAGCGCTAGCCTTGAGTAAAATAGAAGCTCAGGGATAATGCCCAGGTCCTGAGTTCAAGCCCCAGGACCAGCCAGATAAATAAATTTCAGCTCCTGGACACAAAAACCTACATGCAACCACACACTATGCCCCGCTACAAGGATACAGAGCTATTTGATAAATAATACAACCAAGTCAAATTCTCAGTGTGGTGGCACTCTCCTCACTTGCCATCACATCACCCATTTGTCTGGCTCCTTCAGTCTGTGACCCCTTTCCCCAGCTGCCTTCTCATTTACTCCTTTTCTTGCTCTTGCACATTTCTTCCTCACCCACACCATGAGCTTTTATACTGCAGCATCCTGAGCACTGCTTAGCTTCAATGGTGAAACTCAAACCAACCACTGTCCCGAGTCCTTCTATAAATCAGAAGTTATACACTGGAAGCTTGGAGCTACATCTGCCTACCAGATGTGTTTTCCTGCATTATTTTGAAAAATGTGAATTAGTCATCAACATTTAAAAATTAAGACAACTTCGCATAAAAATCCAAAATGCTTAGCTTCCCTTAAAATAAAAAAAACATCTGACAGCATGAGTCCAATATGACAACCATCTCCTAAAAGCCTAATTTCCCAGTACACACAGTAATTCTCTACCAGTTCTACTCCCTAACACTGGACTTTCTGCAAGTCTCTTCCCCTTTCCTGACTCCCCTCACTGCCTGGCCCCAAAGGCAAGGAATCTATGACCTCCACCAACTGCCTTAAGAAGTGACACGGAAGTCACAGGAAATGTTGCCTCATGCCATTTTCACTTCATGCTAAATTCTGCAAACTCTTCTGAGAGATGCTATAGCTAAGTGGCCTATTGTTAGATCTCAACCACAAAAAGACAATCCTAGCCAAACCCCAGGCCAAAGCACTTGCTATTAGCAGGCTTAGCGGACCAGCTCCCTGCTAGAATTTACTGCATCTCAAACATTCCTTTGGGTGTAGCTACAATGAAGAAGGTTTCAGACCTCAAACTAAAAAGTTTTCTAATGATGAGACTAAGGAGTTTAGTCACAGCTAGCTGCAACACACTTACAAAGGAAAATTTTAAAATCAGCCTTATTAGGCCCAATAGCCTGGACTTCAAATATTAAGGTAACCGCAGTATCCATCTTCTTTTATTCTCTCAGCAACCACTCAAAATCCATATCTTTACGGTAATGTAAATCCATTAGAGAGAGCACTAGAAACGCAATGAAGAATCAATCCTACGCTGGAAGAAACAGAGACTAAATGACCTTCGCCATGTAGAATCTCTCTGATACATTAAGTCTATTGTGTCCAGACTAGACTATGAAACTATTTTCCAGAACAGAAAGAACAGGACATACAGAAAAGTACTGGGGATTCAAAGATCCATTTGCAACTAATTTCAAATCCCATAAACTAAGAAGTTCATGTTAGGTCTACTAAAGAACAGAGAAATGGCTGGGGATAGGGAACTGGCTAGGGATGGGGAACAAATTTCTAGTTGGCACATGTCATTTTTCATTCACTTCCTCCAATAATAATTAAAAGTCAGAGCTTCTTCAGAATTTCAAACACATACAAAAAAACTGCCACAACAAAGTTAATAACCACAAAGTAAATCCCAGGTTTTACACTCACTGATAACTAGAGCAAATACTATTTTAAAAAAGAAAAAAAGGTTTAGGTGTTTTGGGGTTTTTTTTGCCTTTTTTATTTTTGTAAGGAAAGACATTAGGCTGAATAAGCATAGTAGTATTTATGATTTACAATAGCTATCTGCACTTGCTAACAGTGTTAATTGACAGTTGAAAGGCCAAATAGGATTTTTGCTTCTTAAAGAAGAATACTCCAAAGCAAGTAACTATCATAAAGCATATACCCAGCAAATATTCTCTATTGAAAAATTATACTTTTCTCTGAAGCCTGGCTGCAAAGCGAACAGTAGTTCCTTTTTGAACTTCTATTTGAAAGAAATGAAGAGCCTTACTTCATTACAAATGGGAAACTAGCTAAAAGCAACTCCTCCCAACACCATTCCCCTAGGCCTTATAACACAATATTGAATACCTCCAAAATACACACTTTTTACCTTATTCTTCATTGTTAATATATGCTAGTTTTTGTTTTTAATTCATTCTGACTTCCCCTCCCCCCACAACTCAAGAATCTACAAAGTACCATATCTCTGCCATTTCAGCTAACGCCAATCTTTTAGAGTAATTCAGATCATTAGATTTTACAATATGCCAAATTAAGAAAGTATATAAAGTCTAAGAGTACATTCTACGTAAGACGTTTTCCTATCCAGCATTTTCACTTTGCTCTACATTACAGTAAGGTTTTGAGCTAAAAAGCAAAAAAATAGGTATTTAATCAACAAACCTGACCACTCCATGCACAATACAGATTGCACAATAAGTTCCAATTGTGGTTGATCATGCAGTCCAGGAGCCTGAACTGGGCCATGACTGCCTTAGGGCACAGCCTTCCTGTCTTCTGACTCAGCTTTTGTCAGCTCTGTCTGAGCTGCAGTGCTGGGAGCAGCGCTGAGGATTTTCCCCTCCCTTTCCTGTCCGGGCAGCCATAGTTGCATCATCTTCCCAGGCTCTAACATATGATGACATCATAAAGTGAAGACTTGCTCAGGGTCTTATTTAGTATTTAACATGTTTTTAAAGAGTATTGCTTTTTTATTTTTGGTACCCTAGGCTAGAATTCATTTATTCACTGAAAACATTCATCTTGGGAATGTGGTTAAGAAACCAATAATGCTGGCTAAAATCGCACAACAAACCAATTCCAACACAAGATGGTGGAGCCAACCAATGACCCTTACTCTGACTAAACCCAAAGGGCACCAAAGTTTTCCGTCCTCTTCACCTCTTAGTAGTGTCTTACACTCCTAACTCCCTCCAAAGTTTCAGCCAGCAGCCCAGAGTATTCTTTTATACTTCTCTAACTCCTTTATTCTCTTCTTTACAAGAATGAAACAAGAGGTGCTAAGGCAAAGTGAGAAAAGCCTAGGTGCTAATAAGACAGGCTCAGTTCCTTAATGCAACCCAATGGGTGTACAACAAGAAACTTACTAGCTTAAACTTCAAGTCATTCATTTATAAAAATAGGAATAGTAACACCTGCCCCATGTGGAGATTTTAATATGGTATTTTAAAATATATCTAACATACTGTAAAACAGTATCTAACAGACACCTCATAAATTGTTCTTATAGCCTGGCATGGTGGCTACAGCCTATAGTGCCAGCTACTTTGGGAGGCTAAGAACAGGGAACCACAGCTTTAGGCTCAGCCTGAGCATAACGGCTCATGAGACTCCATCTCAATCAGTGGCTGAACACAGTGGCACACACCTGTTATCACAGCTACTAGGAAGTACAATGGCTGGGCACAGCAGCCTGTCATGCCCAGTGATAAGGGGAAAAACAAGGAGAAAGATCACAGAGCTCAGGCTAACCCAGGTATAAAGCAAGACCCTACCTCAAAGATAACAAAACAAGCGTAAAAACAAGGGAAGAGGTAACACTTCAAAAATAAATGTACTCATTACCTGACTTAGGTAACTGTAACCCCTCTGTACATCACCTTTACTATAAAAATACAAATAAAAAGACACCAAAAAAAAATAACAAGCATAAATAAAAATGGACTGAAAGCTTGGCACCCACCTAGCAAATGTGAAGCCCGGAGTTCAATCCTCAATACCACTTAGAATATTCATAGACTGCTTTCCCTTCTTAAAATGGACCCTTCACTCACTTTTTCCTTTCTTATACTATTCCTAGATGCCATCTGCCAGATTCCTGATTTTAACTATGAATTACGACTTCCAAACCTCTCTCCCAGGCCACCCCTCTCCCAAGCTGCAAATCTTCATGACTAAACTCTTACGAAGCATGTACACCTAAACTTCTCTCAGCACAGGTCCAAAAATGAGCTTATTACCTTCCTTCTTATAACTTCACACACCCCTGTAATCCCTTAATCTGCATTATGGCAGCACAACTCATCCCTTGGTTACCAAAACAGAAATCAGAGTCATCCTGGATTCCCTCTTTCCTCACCTCTCATCCAGCTCCCAATCCAGTCACTTTTACAATGTCCCCCGCCTCCGCTGAAATTCAGCTAGAGCATATTCGGAAACCCAGGCTGCTCCTTCAGCTGAGCAAGTATGTCCTGATGTGCTGGTACAGTTTTCCAAGGAAGGCTTTTCCTGAGTTCTCTACTAGGCTGGCTTACCTACTCAGATCTGCATGGTTTCCTGCTCTTCTAACTTCATAATTTCATATTCACGGCGATCCTATTATTCGGCTCCTCTTAATCCGTGTGTACCCAAGAAAGTGGGCAAGTGGCTCAGGCCAGTCTTTCTTCACTGCTAAATTCTCACTGCCTACCACTTGAGAGGAACCCAACAAATACATCTTTGTTGGAGAAGTTCTTAAGTGTGGGAGGACAATTCAAAAATATTAACAAGTCCTCCAAGTACCAAACTAGAATCATTTTGAGATAGGGTACGTTTTATCCTGGAACAAAAGGAGTCATTATCACTAGTTGAAAGCAAAACACAAGTTGCTTTCTGTTTTCTTTTTCAACTAATTGTACTAAAGAAAAAGTTGCAGCAGTTGGGATTCTAACTAAATACCTACACTTGCACTGTCTGTTCTATCCCCACCCCAAGTCACTCAGAATTTCTGAGAAAAGGGAAGATCTGATTTTCAAACGTTTTCAAGTTAATAGTCCTAGTACCAATTATGGACCAGTCCACAAAATCTTATGGCAAAAGGCAAAAAAGAAACCCTTGGATAGGCCCATGTAAATTAAGCTTTTATAATTCAGTTCTAAATATGGCCTAATGTTCATTTTTTTCACGACCCACTGGAATCCCCCCATCTATAAAATCCCTTTGGAACCAGTTTTACATGAAGGAAGCTATTATAACTATTCATTGCTTTTACTTAAAAAATCTGCATAGAAATCACCCTACATTCTTTTAGCTTCTACAAGAGATAGTGAAGGCATATCTCTCTCTCACACACACACACCTCTCTCTCTCTCTCTCTCTCTCTCTCTCACACACACACACACACACACACACACATATATGCGCGTGTATACCCCAAAACTGGGTAACAAAGGAAGCCTACAAGCCCAAATAAGAGTAAAGCCATGCACCAGTGGCTCATGCCTGTCATCCTAGCTACTCAGGAGGCTAAGATTTGAGGATCTCAGGTCAAAGCCAGCCTAGGCAGTAAAGTATGTGAGTGAGACTCTTATCTCCAATTAATCACCAAAAAGCTGGAGACAGAGTTGTGACTAAAGTGGTAGAACTCTAGCCTTGAGCAAAAGTGCTCAGGGACAGAGCCCAGGTCCAGAGTTCAAGCCACAGAACTAGGGGCGGTGGAGCAGTGCACAAAAAATAAGTACTAATGACTCCTAGCACTTAGCAGCATCAACATCAAGTGTAGGAAATGCAGTCCAGGGAAGCAGAGGGCATGAAACCAAGTAGAAGAACCTCTAATGTAGCCACCCAAAAGATGTGACCCTGGAAGCTGTGAGTGTGACCTTATTGGGGGGAAAAATAGTGCTTTTGTAGATATAATTAAATTAAGGACTTCAAAATGAGATCATCCTGAATTACCTAGATGGGCCCTAAATCCAATGAGACTCAGCCTTCCAAGGCTGGACAATAATACCTGTGTGCAAAGGCCGAGCAGGAGTGACACTGTCACAAGTGAGGAATGCTTGGAGCCTCCCTCACCTGTGGGAGAAAGCTATTTTGTTTTAAGCCAACAAGGTTGTGAGAATTTATAATGGCTGGCCCAAATAGCCAAGGTTCCTACTGGGAAGTACAACCATCGATGAGACAAACACCTAAAACCTAGGTAAATTTTACCTACTACCATAGGAGTAGGTAAACAGGAATTGATACTAAGACCTGAAGAGGAAAAGAGTTGCCAAGAGCTCTGAACTCAAAACTACAAAACTGACCAACAAAGTGCCCTTCCACAAAACAGCTGCGCACTGAGAAAAGTGTTTCAAACAAAACTCAGATTAAGACAACACCATGGGGCTGGGAAGGTGGCTCAGTGGTAGAGCGCTTGCCTTGCATGCCTGAGGCCCTGGGTTTGATTCCTCAGCACCACATAAGCAAAAAGAAAAAAGCCGGAAGTGGCACTGTGGCTCAAGTGGTAGAGTGCTAGCCTTGAGCTGAAGAGCTGAGGGACAGCGCCCAGGCCCAGAGTTCAGGCCCCACGACCGGACCCCCCCCCTAAAAAAAAAAGAAGAAGAAGAAAAGTAAAGCAAAGTAAAAGATAGAACCCATAAAGGAAAAAAAATTAATTATGCTTTCCATAAGCAAATATATTTGCAAGTATATCCTGAAAGGGGAACACCCTGAGACTGTCCACTTGTAAAATTGCTAAACTTGAAAGTCCAAAAAGAAAAAACAAAATTATGAACCAAAATACCCTGTTAGTGATTGATGATGGAAAATGAACATGAAATGCTCACCAGACTTTCTATGCCATATTTAAGAAGGCCCAAGAAAGTGTGAATTGAGAATTCAGTGCCTGGCCAACTTGCTAAAAGCACCAGCAATGATTACGCAATCATGATTACACGAACATGAGCCTGAGAACTAGAGGTGACCACTCAACACAAAACTATTTTGGAACTAAAACTAAGTAAGGGTTAAACGGGAGAGAGAATTCCAGGCCTGGTGGCACACACCTATAATCCCATCGCTCTGGAGAGTATAAGAACATAGAGGACCCCAGTCTATCAGTCTCAAGAAAAAAAAAAAAAAGAGTGGGGATTGGGGTTACAGACATAATATCTAGTATTCTGACACAGCAGATGCAGTACAACTTAAAAAAAAAAAGGTAGCTGGGCACTGGTGGCTCACCCTTGTAATCCTAGATACTCAGGAGGCTGAGATCTGAGGATCACAGTTCAAAGCCAGCCAGCCTGGACAGAAAACTGCATGAGATTCTTATCTCCAATTATCCACCAGAAAATATGGTTATGGCTCAAAGTGGTAGGGCAAAAGAGCTCAGGGGCAGTGCCAGGGCCCCAAGTTCAAACCCCATGACTGACTAAATAAATAAATAAATAAATGTAGGATGCGGAGAGCACAGGGAAAAAACTGTTTTCAGTGATCACAATGACAGGGTACTACTGCATTATTACTCTAAATTGTTGTATGTATTATTTGGGATAAAGTTAAATTATCACTTTTGGAATACACCAACGTCCCTCCATGTCTTTAAGAACCAACATTTTTAATATGGAAGAAAAAAAGAACCAGATATAATACCAAAGAGTCTATGAGCCTCTAGTTCTGAGCTCAGAAGGAAATTATCAGTGTTAAGTCAGGAAGCATCATTATCAAAAAACACTGCTATAGTAAATAAGACCTAGGGCTTAA